CCTCCGTCCCAGAAATATTGATACATTTTGACTTTTCTTGGTCAATGGTGGTAAAGTTTAGACAATGATTTTAGGTATTATATTTGTTTGTAATTTATAAATTTTATACTTTTATGTAAGATTTTTTAATAAAGAATATGTTCATATAATTTTCATATTTTAAATAATTTTGTATTAAAAGATATCATTGGTCAAACTTAACCATCATTGACCAAAAAAAGTCAAAATGTATCAATCTTTTTTGGACCGAGGGAGTATTTATTTATATTAATTAGGTTGTCTAAATATAGTAGGAATCTTGATGTATCTTGGACCCTTTTATTATAAATAATACTTTCAGGGCTACCATTGAGGTAGGCTTCCATATTATTCTCACACGTCATACCCTCCTCATCAATATTACACTCCTCACCAATATCACCCTTCCCCACCACAAAATATTCAGTCTTCTTATTCTTACCCTTCTCCAAATGTGCAACATTCCCAGTCTCAATCCCCTCATCTTTATGCTTATTCACAATATCCTAGGGTGAAACCAGGTTCCATGCTAGAATATCTTGTTCAAACTAAAAGTCCCGAGGAATTAGCTAACTATTTTCCTAAAAATAGCATTTGTTCCTTCTGTGGAGGAGGTCACCATTTATGTATTTGCCTCATTCCTCCATATGACCATCCTTACCAGGCAACTACATATCCCACTTCTTCCTCCCCACATTATATGAGCACAAATGTTCCAGTCATTCCTACATCCTTGCCTAGTAATGGACTACATAATCAACGAGAGGGGGCACATTTAAAGATGCTTTCTGACTTGGAAGAGACGCTCATTCAGTTCATGGAGACCACTTCAACCAGAATACATGATCTAAGTAACATGACGAGTCAGGTGGCAGAAGCCCTATCTGAGGAGACCGAGAGATCCCATCCTAACTACACTGAAAACAATCTGAGTGAACACGTCGAGGCTGTCATGCATACAAATGAGAAGCACCTTGAGGGAGATGATTATAATAAAGAAGTGTCTCTCCCCGTGAAACAAGAACTGTCATGTACATATTCAGATGTTCACTCATGCATTGTCTCAGATCTGGATTTGTTTGATTCACCACTGAAGGAGATGCTCCTTTTATCAATGACGACCACATCATCCGAGAAGACATTGATAAGAACAGTGTTAACGAGAGTTGGGATGCTCACATGGGAGTGATACAAAGTCCAGAGGGGATGTTGTGAATTTTCACGACATTTGTGAGGAAGAAAAAGACTTTTCTATGATGCAGTTCGAGTACGATGTTGCTCCAGATCTTTGATTTGAAACATCTTTTGAGCTTCCACTGATGTCTGGAGTAACCAAAGTGTTGACCCATGTTTTATGTCCACTCAAGGAGGATGTGAAGTTGATCTTTCATTTCTGTGCTGATAAGGTTTTTGAAGACCATGTGATCCCTACGTGGTTTCAAGAGTTTAGAATCTACGCCACCTAAGGGCATTTGATGAGGGAAAGCTAGATAAGTTGATGATTAGGCCCCCACTGCACTATTTGCTATTTGAGAGCATATGAGGTATAAAAAATAGCGCTTCTTGGAACGCAACCCAACCTTATTTCTGCACTTTTGTTTCAGCTTGTTTCTTTGTGTGTTTTTGTGTTTTTGTGCTTTGTTTTTGCAGCTCAGAGTGTGCTCTTTGGGATGATGTGCCACGAATTAGATTGACTCAGTTTAATTTTGCATCAACCAACGCCCTAGGGAAGTTTCCACGACCTTTCTTCTTTCCTGTTAATTATGATGACTTCAGATGAATTTGAGCATGCGTGACCCTTTCCCCTTTACCCCCTTGTGCATAGTGCATTTTTTCCATCGAGGGTGATGCCAAAGTTTAAGTGTGGGGGAGCGAATTAGGCATTTGGGCAGTAGTTGTTACATTAGATTATTAGAGTTAGCATGCGCAGATGTTAGTTGTATATTCATAGAAATTTCATGTCAAATTTTTGAAAAATTTTCTTTAAATTCTGTCTTTGTGAGCTGGCTAGCATTTTGACTATGCTTTTAGGACATTTTTGAAGTGTTTAGGCTTAAATTGCTTGCACTATAATCTAGTTGTTGAGAGGATGAAGACATTAGTGAACCGTTGAATTCATGAATCATCCACCTCACCTGAATATTTTTTTTTTACCCCGGAAGGCAAACCACCAAAATCAGTGGGGTAAATGTCGGGGGACATTTACCGAGTTTTATTAGATAAAGCAAGGATAACAATGAGGGGGAGGGGGGCTAGACCAAAACCCCTCGAAATATAAAATAATCAACAAATCAAAGAGATTAAACACAAATCTAATCAATTCTAAAATAGCTTAGACCCAATTTATCTGCAATTAGGCTACGCCTAATATGAGCAGGTAATTACCTGATATTAGTGAAAATAATCCTCTCTACAGAATGGAGTTTGGACAAAAAATGAGCAGGCCAATTAATACCATGCACCACATGTCGGTATTGAACGTGACATTCAACCGCCCAATTCCTCAGATCATTAATCATCCTCTTCCAGCGACCTTCCAAACCACCTCCAACAATAAGATCGATTACTAAACTAGAATCAACCTCCACCTCGAATCCCTTGTAACCCTTTTCAATCGTCCAATAAACCGCAATGTGCACCGCTTGAAGTTCTGCTTCCATAACTGATGTTGCTACTAGGGGAAAATGAGTTGCAGCCACAAAATCACCTGAATATGTCCTTTGGGAGAAGCCACGTTGAGCTGGACCATTTTGTTCTTTACCTAATTAATTGAGCTTCATAGCAAAAGGGTCTGATTTCTTACCCGTGAATAACTCTGACATAGTCTTGATGTTTAGGCAATTAGGGGATTAATTTGCTAAGTTTCAGGAATTTTGGTAGGAGCCAATTTTGGCACTATTCCTATGCCTCAAATGGGGTAAGAGCAGTTACTTTTTAGGAATTTGATATTTTCAATGATTGCATTGTAGGCATGGATTCACTTTGAATAATTGAACTTTAATTGATAATTTACCTTGGTGAGGCCGAGATTAGAATGTGGTAATGTCTAGTGAAAAATATGAAAAACTTGAAAAAATAATAATTAATATAGGTAGACCTCTTACCTTGCGAAAAAGAGAATGGGAACCCCGGTCAAAAAGTGTAAGTGTTCTGCACAATTAGATAAAACTTCGGGATCTTTCGAAAGAAATGACGTTCTCGTGCCAACATGATAAGGAAAACTAAACCTAATTAAATGAACTAGAAGGGTTTTGCAAGATTTAGCATTAGTCCTTCGCGTACTTCAAGTATACGTCAAAGCACTAATTTGCCGCGGCGGTTTAGCTTAGTTGTACATCATGTCTACTTCTTTGCATAGATTTAAATGATAGTTCCTAATTAGTGGCCTATTGAACTTCTTGATCCTAAGAATAGCCCCGAAATTCCTGAATGCATTAAGTCCTTGTCAGTTTGTTTCAAAACTTTCAAAGAAAGGGACTGTTTATTCCTTCACCATTCACCACCACATTCACAAGTCCTTCTGATCAGTAGTTAATTTATTAATGTAGGTTGTCACTACTTTGAGGATGTTGTGATTAATTTTGTCATTAATTTTAGCCAGAGTACAAAGATGTAGTTTAGGGAAGAATTTTCTTGGTTTAGTCTGTATGTTCTGTGAATACCCCTTTAACTACTTGTGCATGCTAATTGTTTTGAATTCCGTGTAGTGACTATCGTAAGTCCCGTTGTTGAGTTTGCTTGAGGACAAGCAAAAGCTTAAGTGTGGGAGAATCTGATAAGTCCATATTGCAACACGCATTTGAAGCGTGTTGGGATCGGATTTTGATGTTTTTACTAACTTTTAGGTATCACAAGTCTCAATTTTAGTTCAAGTTATGTTTACCAGGCGTTGGTTCGAGTTTTGTTTTGTTTGGAGTCAAAATCAGGAATTAGAGTCTGGCATCGGTGCTTTAGAAGAAATCGGGATGAGTTGATGATGCATTCGAGAGAAAATTGAGAGCTTTGAAGGTCATCGGGAGGTTCACGATGAAGATTCGATGATAAAAGAGTTCTAGAATTGGCTACGGGATCAAATGAAGAGGAATAGCGCTTGAAAACGGCGTTCAGGATGACCTTCTGTCAATCTTTCAAGCATATATTTTGTAGAAACATCCAAAGAACACGATTCAAGTTCCATATGAAAGCCATATTCAAGTGCTACAAATCATAAGAAGACACCATTGCGAGAATCTGAGAGGAGCAAGGTGAAAACAGATGATGATGTCAGATGATCGCTGTTTCGATATCAGAATGCGACATCCCACCATTTTATTCATATCTTTTGATTGGATGATTCAAATCCAGTTTTTCAAGTTGTGATGGATAGAGGACTTCATTATCTACAACTCTCATGAAGGAAGCATTATCAAATTCGGAAGGAAAGGCATGGTCGTGCCTATAAAAGAAACAAGTACCAACTCCCTTGACGCGAAGAACGCGCATGCACCGCAGGCACGGTCGCAGGCACGATCGTGTCTGGAGCCATGCCTGACCCGAAAATCCTGTAAACAGCCTGTAAACCTCTGTTTTGATGGGGAGCTTAGAGAGAGGCCTAGGGACGAATTTTAGAGAGCTTTTCAGCCTTGTTCTTCAATTCACTTGAATTATTTGTAAGTTCCTTATTTTTAATTAATGACAATTATTTCTATTCTTCTCAATGCTATTGATTATTCAATTATGAGTCGGGAGTAGTTTTAATTAGGTATTTGGGATTGATAAAGGGGTTAATCAAGATGTATGGCTAAATTCATGATGGATTAATCAATTCATGTTCCCTTCATCATTAATTAGAAAGCCCCAAACTTTATTTTCATTCGTTTGTTCGCATTTTAATTTCCCAAACCAATCAATCTCGCACAATTTATTTTTTTCTTATTTTTTTAATTGCTGAATTTATTTAATTCTTAATTCTCTTTTGTTCATCCCTGTCGAGACCATACTCGTACTTACACCACTATTCTATTACTTATTTTAAGTGCGAAAAAACTCACATCATACAACCTGTTACACGGTAAAATAAAAAGGGGTCTAACACAACCCAACTAGACATTCTTAGCATAAGACATCTAGCTAGAAAGATTTTTTTTGGTAGATTTATCTAAATAGGAGTAAATAAATCTTTAATTGCCAAAATAGGAGTGAATGTTAAAAATTCCCCAAATAGAAGTTATTATTTGTAGTTGGACAAAAACACCCCTGAAGTTTGGAAAACACACTGCTGCTGACAGAACGCCGGACCACCGTCGACCGCCACCGGACCTTCGTCAGCTGAAGGTCGCCGCTTGCCGCCATCCGCCTCTGAAATAGCCGCTGCTGCAGATCTGGCCTCCGCCGTCGTAGATCTGGCCAGATCCACCACCGACCACCACCAATCGCCACTGCCGCAGGTTCGCCCTCCGGCATTGCAGATCTGGAAGCCATCGTCACTGATATCAACATTTATATCAGAATGCCAAGTCGAGAATGCCATCTTAATGTCATTTGCAAAAGAGAATATGGCATTTTTTAAGAGTAAAAATGTCATCTTCTTGACATTTTAAAAATAAATTTTGACATTTTTTTAAAATCAAAGAAGATGAAGCAGTTGCCACCATTGAATGCTAAGAATCTCACATTTCCAAGATCTGTGATGCAACAAAAGAGGGAGAAAGAGAGACAGAGAATAGCTAGAGAGGAGGAGTTGAGGAAGAAGAAGGAAGAGATAGCTACGTGAGAATAACGAGCCTCAATTTCACCGTCGGATCTGAACAAAGCTCGTCGCCGGCCGCTGCTGCTCGCCGTGGCTTGTTCGCTGCTCGCCGCTGGCCACCGCTGCTCGTCTTGACTCCTTTGCCACTCGACGCCGCTTGCTACTGTTTGCCGCTGCCGTTGTTCATCGCCGCTTGTCGTCGCTCGTCGCTCCTTTGCAGCTCTATTGTTCATCGCAGGCCATAAGCAGACTTCAACTTTAGGAGAGAGAGAGAAGGGGAGTGGGTGTTGAACCGTAAAAATTAATTGGAGGACCACGAGGGGTAAAAGAGGTATAATGGTCTTATTTAGGGAATAAAATGCTGGATACTCCTATTTTGGAATTTAAGCAACATTTAAGTCCTATTTAGGACAAAAAACTCGTTTTTTTATGTAATACTTTTTCCAATAGGAAATAATGTTATTAAATAAAAGCAGCAAAATGGCCAGGGATGCAGGCTGTTTATTGTTCATAAAAATACGTAGTAGTACGTATAAACACGCACAATACCAACCAAGATATCATATATTACTGAGTAATTTTCACAAATAGACTAAAAATGAAATTAATATCACTTTTGTTCCCCTTAAAACTTTCTTTCAAATATAGATTACTTCAAAGTTTCTTTTAAAAATGGACCATTGGCACGTATGAAGCCGACTAAAATTTCTTTCGCCTGACACGTAGTGCCATGCATGTAAATTTGAATCACTACTCCACTTCTCAAAAAACTAATACGAATAGTTTTTAAGATGAAAATGTAAAAATTCATTAACTCATATTGTTGAAAATGTTTAGAAAAAAATAAAATTAGACAAAAGTAAATTGATTTTTAAAAACATAAAAAACTCAAAATAAAGAATAAAACTCAAAACATGCAAAATTAGAAAATTGTAAATTAAATTGAAAAATTAAAGAAAATGAATTTAAATTTTACAAAAAAGTTATAAATATAAAAAACGTAAAAAACTTAAAAAAAAAGTTGAGAACTATATTTTAATGTAGTGTTTTAAATAGATAATATAAATTATTTTGTAAAATATGAAAATAAAATTTTATTAAAAAATGAAAAATAGTTAAAAAATCGATAAACTTAAAATTATTAAAAATACGTAATACAAGATAAAAATATTTTGAAAATATTAAATAATATGAATTCTATTATTTTAGAACGTTCTAAAAGGCTCTGAAATAAATATATGAGATTTTAAAACAATAGATGAATCAAATTAAAATGTAAACAAGGTTCTTAGAATTAAAAACACTAAATTAAGAATTGTTTAAATAATGAAAATCAAAAATAAAAAGGTCAAAAAATAAAAATAAAAAAATGAAAAATTAAAAAATTTAAAGCTTGTAATAATGAACTTATACTCTTTAGATATTATTATTATTATCATCATCATTTAATTGTTACTTTTGTTGCATATAGTTTCTTTGTGTTTTTTATTGTTTCTTTTTGTTTATTCATAAATCCAAATTTACCATTTTAGGTGTTTATATGTGTGTTTGTGTGTGATTTTTTATTCCAAACAAGTAAGGAATATAAATACAAATCTAAATAGACAAAAAATCAAAATCAATATGCAACATTATGTAATAAAAAGCAACATGTATAATAAAAAGCAACAAGATACAATCAAAAGAAACAAAAAGCAACATGATGCATAAATCCAAAAGAGAAATTTTTGTTTTTTATTGTTCATTTATGTTTCCTGCCATTGGTTTATATTCATAATCCAAAGTTATCATTTCTGAGTTTTTCTTACTTCAAAGAAGTAGAAAAAAACCCTAAATAAACAACATAAAACAAGAGCAACAATAAAACAAAAATAAGTAACACAATGCAACAAAATGCAACACCGTGTAACAGAAAACAAAAGGAGGCAACAAAAAGCAACACGATGAAACCAAATATATATGCAACAAAACAAAAACAAAACAATTTCAACACACAAAAGTATTCAATGAATCCATATTCAACTTATTTTTCTACATTCATTATTGGAAGCAACAATAAAACAATAGTAGTGGTATCACTCCATTAGCTAGCTAGGACTGAAGAAAAACCCAACAACAAGAGCCAACTCATCTTGCTTCCCCGGGAGACGATTTGATTGAAAACCCTATGAGCCTGATTGATGTCTTGACCAACAATGCTATCTTCAAATCATCGTTTGACTTAATCTCGAATCAAGTGGAACTATAACCACAAGCTCATTTTTATCTGAAAAGAGAGAAAATAATTGTGGGACAAATTGAAAATGAAAAAACGAAGATTAATGTAGAATAGACGGATACATGAAGTGGTAATATAATTTTAAAATCATTGGAACCTCGGTTTTAGTAGTAACAAAAATTATAAATGGTTCCACATTGTCATTGAGAAGCATTCTTCTCAAAGAAGTAGAGAAAAATTGGAAGAAGAAAAACGAGGTGATCAAGTGAAGCATGGTGCCGAGTCTAGTCGTATAGTACATATATGTTAGCATTTTTGGTGCAACTGAGTTTGGTGCTCAAATATGCAGTGTTTTGTTGAAATCTATGCTAAGAATCAAAACAAGAAAGCATATGTTGTTAGCTAACTGAGTACTTTTAAATGTTTTATCAAATTAAAGCTAAGAAATTCAAAGTTCACCACATGACTATACATGAGATTTAGCTTCACTCTCTCAGAATGCATAAATTTCATCAGATTCACAAGTATGATTCATGGTGGTGGACTGTTATGCATGAAACAGTAGGTAAAAACTACTAAAAAGTAGGTAAACTTTTTACTGTAAAAGTAACAGAGGTACATACATAGATATAATCATATAAAGTACTGATGCACCAAAATATAATCACAACAATCATCATCATTTTCATTTACCCCAGTGCCGCAAAGGCTCCCACCTACGGTGGGGTAAGGGGGGTCGGATGTACACGGTCTTACCCCTGTACTAAAGCACAGAGAGACTGTTTCCGGATGACCCATAGTGAAAATCGCGTCCAAGATTGCATGGACTGACTGTTGCTCCATAACAAAGAAGCGCAGACAGTTTAGTGAGCCATTTTGCTTTATTCCATCATAATCTCAAGCCAAAAAATAATGAATTTTTGGCTCCATTGCAAATATGAAAGTAAAATAAACAAAAAGAACAAAATGAACATTACATCTCTCCTTCTCTAGGCATGAGGGGTCCATGGATGTCATAGTAATATGATGTTATTTAGAGTAAACACTTTTTTTGAGATTGAAACACTTTGAGAAGCTCAATGTTATTTGATTAATTAGGGATAGAAAAGATGTATTCATGTGAGAATAGGCCTCCTTATATGGTTTGGTCAGAGAGAAGGAAGTAGGGACTAATTGCTCAGCATGCTCTATGTTCATGAAAAGCATATCAAATACGATTGCCTCTACCGGAAAGACTTTGCATTTCATCTGCTAATACTTCTTCAATGCCCTTAATAAGACATAATATGGGTTAATGGAGTGGTCAGGGAACCACAAGGTTAACATTATTAGAGATATTTTGCATCTCATTAGAAGATTGTATCAGCTATGGTGGTCAAATCTCTGAAAACGTTAAATACGAAAGTGAGATTCATCCATTATTTAAATTATATGAACAGCTAAAAACTAAGCAAAAAGTTTTAATAAAATACTAATTGACTAAATAATTTAATGATTATAAAACAATTGAAACTGTGAAAGTGTGAACTGAGTAAATTAAACAACTTCTAGTCTAAAAGGAATCAAAAGAGCAAATGATACAAGTAATAAAATCTGAAATATTTAAAACACCTACTATTCTACAAACCTGGTACCCAAAAAAAACTGACTAGTTAAATAAGAAACAAATATTACAATGTCTTAATGGACATAGTTACCTTACACTTGTTGACATAATGATCTCCTTGTTGCATGACCAAGAGCCGAATTAGGGAAGACTTTTGGTGCAGTCGAAATCGGGATTGGTACCTGAAATGAGAGAGAGAGTGCGACCTCTTCGCAATCCTATGGATTGAGCGGTTTCAGTTCATCCATCTCCAATGCGCGCGAACTCATTCACTCGGTCTGAATCGGCTATTTTATGACCGATGGAAAATGAGAAGTTGGTTTTGAGTTGTTGGAGAAGATGCAAGGTGTAGCGAAGAAGCCACGGAACCGAGAGAAAATTAAGGATTTTGATTTTTGAATTTGACTTTATTTTGGGGTTTAGTCTATTTATGAAATCACAAAAGTTAAAGTGAAAAGTATAAAGTTTAGATTTGAAAGATATTTTCTACGTGGACATAAATGAAACGTCAAAGGCAAAAGGGGCTAAGCCCGGATATTTCCACTATATTACTCGATCACTCTAATGAAATGAATCATGGAGTCCCGGCCCGGTGCCACAATTCCTGAAGCTGAGCGGCAAACTGCACATTCCAGATTAGGTCCTCCACGGATGGACCATGGTTCGAAACACACCTTAAGCAAAGGTCCATCATGGTTTTCAGCGACTGGTCACAGCATTCCTTGCAGATTGAGGGGTCCACAATGCTTCGCCGTGCTACCTCATCAGCTGCTAAGCTTACATATAACTGCACCATGCACCATATATAGAAAGGATCGGCATCATATAATTATACATAATCATATACTCATAGACACTGTTCTAAAACTCGCTAGACACTAGTCTGACGGTTGAGGAGGGTGACTAGGCCGATATTTTGACCGACTAGGCCGACTAGGCCTCTACAGTTAGGGCCGACTAGGCCGATTAATCGGTCCGCCTAGCCCGATTTTTAGAACAGTGCTCATAGATGAATGAATGAACTAGAAATAAATCCTATCTTCTTCGACCTCTTTACTTATGAGATTCTTGACAGACAGAGATCTTTCGCTTATATTGTGTTGTTATTTCATCGGGACAAAGCATATATATATATATATATATATATATATATATATATATATATATATAGAGAGAGAGAGAGAGAGAGAGAGAGGAGAGGGCTGAGTAGTCGTAGCCGTAGACAGACTCAAAGACAGGTTCAACCTATTATTAAACCAATTAAATGTCTAGGACTATACGAACTCTATTAATAACATGTAACCCCAATTACATGACCAATATTAGAATATTAATTAATTAACTAAGACAGGAAATTAAAGGAGTGAAAAGGTGCAGTGCTTCAATTGTTGTTGTGATTCTTCAGAGATAATAAATAATATGATAAGTGTTGGTGATTTTAGTATCACCAGGTTCATTTTAGTGTAATGGAATTTACAGATTACCAATGAAGTTCAAGTTTAATTTTAGACAAGTTAGGAGGTGCGGAGCGCACACTTGTACGAAATTAAATTTAAACTTGGTTCGATTAAATGACGGGGGTCAAGGGGGCTGCGCCCCCTTGCGGGGTCCAAGGGGCAGCGCCCCTGGCGGGGGTCTCACTGTAAAACTTTATTTTCGGATAAACATGTCCATATTAATTATTTATAATAGAATGATTTTCTGTTAGAGTAAAACTCTAACTGATTGGCCTTATCTCTTTGGTAATCAGAAGAATTCGAGTTCTACTAAAACTGCTAGTTCGTGGTCTATATATTGGTGCCTCAGTTTTAGACTGTCTCTCAGAGTGATTATCTTCATAATCTAAATTTCGTGTAACCCAGGCATAGGGTCGAAATATTAGATTCGGAAAGTGATCACACGATACTCTGAGAAATCCGCTAGATTTTCTAAAACAGTTTCCCAACTCCTCAGATTTAACAATAAGTCAGTAATGAGATGAACGAAGTCTTACTTACTATGTCTTTGGAGAGATCAATGTCATTTGCGGTTATGATTCTCCTCCCCACTATCATTTCAAGTAAAATAACTCCAAAGCCATAGACATCATCTTTTTCCTTAAAATCACACTTATGATTATGATTATTCTCAGCTGCTGCTAACAAAGGGAGATTGTATTTGGTGATTTTGACATGGATGTGATGATCCGCCAGTAAGATATTTGTTATCTTGAGTTCATTTGAGAAGATGCCCGGAACTATCCCTGTGTGAAGAAACTGGATTCCCCTTGCTATCCCTAACGCAGCCGCCATCCTCTGTGACCAAGAAAACTTTTGCCCGTCTGCGACCATTAATTATCATTCACTCATTCAAATCCGGCCGAAATGGGAAATTTGACGATATATTATAGTGGCATTATTATTATTATTATTATTATTTACCCGAAATGGCTTCTCTCAAAGTTGTGTTGGGCACAAATTCAAATACAAGAAATATTGTGGTGACGCACGAATGATTACTATCCTCCTGATAATACTCAAAGGAGTGGCCAATAGCACTAACTAAGTTGCAATGCCTGATTTTGGAGATGAGTTCAAGTTGGTGAGTGTAATGTTGGATGCTACGTTTCTTCACCATCTTCAATGCTCTTATAGCAACCACGGTTCCATCTGTTAGCAAGCCTTTGTATATCTGAAATCCAAAACAAGAAAATAATTACTACTACTGTAGTATATAATCAAGTCCCTATGTTGGGGCAGCAGCAGATCAGACATAAATACATACTCTGGGAATGGATGGATGGTTACCTGGCCACAAGAGCCTTGGGCTATTATATTGGATGCGTCAAAGTTATTAGTAGCCTCCCTTAGCTCATCCAAACCAAAAGTTCGATAAGGGGGGAAGCCAAGCAGCAGTCCCAACTTCCGGCTTTCAGAAATATACCCTACCAAACAAAGCCACAATTATTAATTAATACAGTGATGATAGCTAGTTGTGTGCACTTAGTTCATCAGCATGTCAAAGATCGATCTACTAGCTAGCTAGCTAGAGAGTGCTTGCGTGCATGAAAACGTGAGTGGATGATTGATTAAGATGCATCACAAAAGCTGCTGCGGCCTTACTGGCATCATTTAGTAGCTTCAGCGTGTACGCGGGCGACACGTCTTCCATCATCTGCCGCACACGCGGTGTCTTCTCAGCCAATTTCTCTTTTACACAAAGGAAAACCACCAATCCAACGAGCGCCGCCCCTCCAACAAGCCCCCCTATGATACTCGACGCGATGACGACCACTTTAGTACGTCCCTTTTTCTCCTCATCTTTTCTCCTAGGAACAACTCCCACAGCCATTGCTTCATTGCGACAAAACTCATAACCATGCTGCCATTGTTCTGCATTATTTGACAAACAATTGCCCCAATATGAAACCTTTATGTGACCCTTTCCCGGCTCCAAACACTCAGGCAATTCCCCGGTCAAGCGGTTCGATGACAGTCCCACATACCAGAGTTCCGGGTTACATGACATGTTCTTGAAGAGCTTCCCCGTCAGTTTATTACCAGAAACATCAAGATAATCAATCGATGGCATTGTCAACAGAGATGGAGGGAAGGCCCCCACAAACTCATTCAAAGAAACGTCCATCTTTTTTAACAGGTAACACTTGACTACTCCATCTGCTATCCCAAACCCGAACCTGTTCTTCCTCAACACCAAAGACACTAACTTTGTTGGCAGGCTGGGGAAATTGGGCCCAAAACCATTGCCCTCTAAATCAACAACTTGGAGATTTCTCAATTTGTGAAAATCCGGCAAATTCCCCGACAGATTATTTGCAGAAGCAACAAGGGTTCTTAATGCTTCCAAACTGGCCAGAGAATTGGGCAGTATGCCCGTGAAAGAGTTATTTCTTAAACTCAGAACAGTCAAGGCAGGGAGTGAAGCTAACCATCCAGGGACCTGACCTGCGAACCTGTTATTGTCCAACACAAGTGTCCTGAGGCTCTTCAGAGAAGACATCTCCACAGGAAGGCTACCACTGAAGCAGTTTGAGCTTATGTTCAGAATCTCCAAAGAAGATAAAAGCCCAATGCTTGAGGGCAGAGGGCCTGTGAGACCCAAAGACACTAAAGAGAGGACCTTCAAGTCAGGGAGGCCTTGAAGATTGGAGAAAAGGGCAGAAGTGGAGATATCTCGGGGCAGGAAGCAGCTAGTAGTGTTACCGCTGATATGAAGCTGCGTTATGTTCTCCTCATAGCAAACGAGGGTTAGGATCGGGAGTGGCGGGTCAATGCTGCAGAAATCGGAGTTCTCGCTCCAGCCTCGGCTGCTTAGCTCTGCCGGGGATCTCAGCTGCTGCATGATGTTCTGCATAGCCCCAGACTGTGAAGGTGGTGGAAGAACTTGCTCCGAGTAATGCACCATCACAACAAACAACAAAATTGTGAGCTTTAACGCTTTCTTCACCAACTCGGCCATGCCAAAGTTGCTGCTGGCCTGGTTCTTTGGACTTTTCTTTTTTCTTTTTCTATTTGTTGGTTTGTTTTGGGCAAATTATTTGCTGCCGGAAAATGACAAAGACGAAACGTGCATGTGACTTTCATCTGCATGCATTATTGACTGAAATCTTGCATCAGTCCTCTGTTCACATTCATCATGGGGTATGCCCCTTTATATATGTTCAGTCCTCTGTTGAAAAGGGTTTGAGAAATTATTATGAATATGAAAATTATTTCCTTATTCAAAATATTTTCATAAAAATATATATTTTATAAAATATATACAAATATATAATAATTAAAATCATAGTCTAAACTTTATTATCATTGATGACAACCCTTTTCGGGCGGAAGTAGTATTTAATATTCATATCTTCTCACTTTCCTTTTTCAATTATAATATTCAAATTTTCTTATTTATAAATCTTCTTATCATAATCTCAATAATTATGAAAATAATACACAATTAAAATTACCTTATTTTGGATTGCTTTTGTTCCAGCACACTATTTCATTATTTTTTCATCATACCCTCATTTAGTAGCTAAATATTTCTTTTTTACTTTAGTACTATACATTACTCCGGTCACGTATTTTTTTTGTGAAGGGGTCCAACTTGTAGTATAATACGTGGTATGTTCATAGAATTTCTCATAAATAAATATGAATTGGACAATTTGTAGTTAATTCTTTTGCATTACCATTTGTAATTTGCTAAAATTTGTACCAATATAAAATAAGTTAAAGGACGGGTAAAATATGTAATTAAAATTAATTTGAGTTGCAAATGCACAAGTACATATGAAGTTGCAAATGCACAAGTACAATCAATTTGTATTATTCGTGTTTATGCTACGGTATTATTGCTTAGTTAAGAATTTATTTTTAGGCACAAGCAACTTGAGTACCGTCACTTTGTCCTGTTTAAGGAAAACCAAACATAAGGTCCTATTTTGAGAATAATGCTATGTTTTGAACCTACCAAAAGCATTTTTCTCACTAAATATACCTCGTATCATTCAGATTGGGCTAAATTATCGTACGTATTGGACAATTTTCTCAATAATCATACTAATAATAGTACTCCCTACGTCCCTTAACATTTAGCCAAGTTTGAATTAATCTCAAAATTTTTCTCAATTATCCCTTAAAGGAAAAATTGTGTGTTTCGGGTTTGTGCAGAGGAGAGAGAATTAATTGGAACCACAGATTATTTACTTAAAAGTGAAAGTGACAAAGTTCGTGAAACAACCAAAAATTGAAAGTTGACAAAGTATTAAGGGATAGAGGGAGTATATAATTATAATTATAATAGTAATAGTAATGGTAATGATGATATTAATAATAATGACGATGAGACGACGACGAATATGGTGATGACGTGTCTTCATTTTCAAACATGAGAACGAAAATGTCTTGAAGTTCAATCAACATAATCTTAACTCATGAGCCATTAGAAATAGGGTTGAACATGGATCTTGAATTTCTCGTTCCATACCGAAGAACCGTTCTGCTCTGTATTATAACCAAAAGAATATATCATCGACAACGCTAAATTTAGTACATAATATTGTATGATATTGATTCTTTATTAAGAACCATCCCAACACCGTGTAGAACCGGACTATTCCAAAATCCAAACATCCCAAAGAATCGGTTATTTTATGCTTGCTCGTATTTTAAAATTTTCAACACTTTGCTTGTCAGGATGCATTTAAAAGTTTGTTATACTTTCCCCTTTTGATAAATCTTCTTTTTAAAAATACTTAATTGCCCTTACTATTTTATTTTTTATCTTATCTTTCATTACCCTTATGGCATGTTTGGTTTGGGATAATCTCACATAAAGGATGGAATGTGATGCAAGAAATGTTATATATCCATGTTTGGTTCTCGAGGTTGAAAAAAATCAGTAAACTTACATTCCTATTAATTTGATGTGGCAATAATATGTAGGGGAATATTAAACTCATTCATATACTAGGTTATCTGACATTCACGAGAATGTCTAAATTTTCTTCCAAAAATACCCTCAAGTAATGGTCTATTTACATTTAATTTGTTTTTCAACTCTTCCATCTTCAACACGGAGTTAAGTGTTTCCTCGCCATATTTTCTCTTCATCTTATGACATTAGACTTGTAGTACTATCTTGGTTCCACTCAAAGGTTCACGTCCACTATTTTCCGATCAACATAAATTATTCTTACTCTTAAACTTGATATATCTAATTTTTATCAAATTTGATATTTTTGCGACTATAAATTTTTAATGCAATTTTCGAATACATAAAATTTATTTACTAAAAATAACTTTATTATTGATAAGAATTGATTAATTTTATGATAAGTCAAAATATTGCAAATCGCATGACCTTTAAGTGAGAACAGATGGAATGTGTATTTTTAATTATATTCGCATGTCTATTCTTGTTATTTACATAATTCTTATTTTCTTAAAACTTAAAATTTGAAAAGTATTATGTTGTAGACTTGTAGCTGATTTAAATTTTGACAAGTGGATTAAAGGACATTGAAATATTCACCAAATCTGCAATATAAGATATAATTCAACCAAATAAATTAATGTCACATTTCCTTAATCTTAACCTAACATAAATGAGATTAAATTGAATATATTCTCATCAATCTAACATATCCAACAATCTAACCTTCTCACGATAATCTGACATTCCATGAACCAAACAAGCCTTTGTTGTTTTCCTTCGTAAATAATGTGTCAAAGCTAAGTAGCTAACATACCAATCTTAAAATATGGAGAGTATAATATATGGCATATCATATCCTACAATATACTAGTATAATACCACGTATATAAGTAGACATTAGTTACTGGAGTGATGTTGTTTTAGCCAACATTCATTCACCCCAACATAATTAATAACTACATTGAATCTTATGAATTACGAAGTATTATTTTGTTAAGACCTGAGGTTGCATCCTAAAAGATCAACCTGATAGGAAGAGTAATCCACATTTTAATATAGCACTTCGTTGACTCAAGCATTTCCGGTGTGGGATTTAACACCCCTCCTCACGGCCAGACTCTTTATCTGGATCGTGCCGTCATTCATTTTTTTCGTCAATTCGTCATTGTCATTTTTTTATAATCATGTCAATCATTTTTCACAAGAGAACCCACACCATGGATCGATTTGGCTCTGATACCATGTTAAGACCTGAAGTTCCATCCTAAAAGGTAACCTGATAGGAGGAGTAACTCATGTTTTAATATAGCACTTCGTTGACTCAAACATTTCCAGTGTGGGATTTAACATATTTAGTTAATTGTGATGAATTTTTTAATTGTTCAAACTTATCACGATTTGTTTGTTACTGGCAATTATAATCTTATGGTTGTTAATGATTAATTATGATGAACATTCTTACATTTTCTCTATTAATGTCTCACTTTAGAAAATAGAACTATTAAAATTGAGCATCTAAATATTGATTTATAGTTTATACGTTATTTTAGTGTGTACATTATTTATGAACTGAATTATGATGAACATTCTTACATTTTCTCTATTAATGTCTCACTTTAGAAAATAGAACTATTAAAATTGAGCATCTAAATATTGATTTATAGTTTATACGTTATTTTAGTGTGTACATTATTTATGAACTAACTGGTACTGAAGTACCGTACCAAAAATGGGTACGGGGCGAGATAGACACTATTTATATTTGGAACTATACCGGTACTTAATTTGTAAAACAATTGTAATTTGATAAGAGAAGTTTTTTAAGAGAACCGCCCCACACCGGGCCATGTTCACCCTTATTTAGAATTGAATGTCTCAGCACTGATCAAATTCTAATTCTAGTGAGAACAGATCACAATGGCCTTTATGATTGCATGCTATTGGCAAATGCTGGAGAATGCACATGCTTTGCACGCAGATTCCATCTAGTCAATCCTCAACAATATGTCGATTCCTCCTCACACCAAATGCAATCCTCTGTATACATAGAGAGTATCGCAAAGAATGAAAGCCAGGTTAATGAACCATGGTTTTATGAAATGAAAAATCCAATAAACAAAAACAAAACACATCAGCCTCTATTGAAGCTAGAATACCAAATGAAAATGCCGGTTTTTATCATACTTAACTAAGAATATCTGGGAATATGCTTTCAATCCAGTGAGAAAACGAATGTAAGTCGGTTTTGTCGATCCACTTGTAGGGATAGACCTAATTTTTGGGACAAGGTACTTGGACACCTGAAACAATTAAGGCTGTTAACATTGTGGTATGGGATTTATATCTGAGATTTCCGAAATTGATTCAGTAATATAGTGACTCGCAAGATGAAGAAATGGAATCATAATTCCACCATCTCAATCCAAAACATGGGATGATAAATGCCAAGTCAACTCATAACTAACTAGTGAATGTTACGGTTCCTCACTAACAAGTGAGTATCATAACTAAAATGCATATCATTGGTTCATGTCAACACAACTTCATCATTTTCTTAGGTTTGAATCGCCTAATTGTAATATAGTAGTTGGTCCATGTTGATCCATTGGCCTACCCAGATACTTTGGTCACGGGATGAAATTCGCACTCCAATGTTATCACACATGTTTCACAAACGTCAAACATATGATGAATATGTCGGTTCAAATTGACATATTGACTTTTCCTGGTCAATAAGGTTTGTCATATTGACTTTTCCTGGTCAATAATGACAGACTTTGCATAATGATTATAATTATTATATTTATATACTTCCTCCGTCCCATTTTACTTAGTCAACCTTGACTTTTAAAGTCAATGGAATCTAACTTTGACCGATTATATGTTTATATAGAGAAAGTATTAATAATATGAAAATGATACGAAAGTGTTCTTTGTTAAAAATACTATCATAAAAGTATAAAATTATTAAATTTTGTATAAATATATTAGTTTAAATAATTGGTCAAAGTTTACCATCTTTGACTGGAAAAGTCTGAAGGCTAAGTAAACTGGGACGGAGGGAGTATAATTTATGAATTTTATACTTTTTTCAAAATATTTTCAATAAGCAACATCTTAATATAATTTTCATATTCAAAATGATTTCGTATTAAAAAAATCATTAGTCAAAGTTGACTACCATTGACCAAGAATGTCCCCACAAACGGGGAGAGAAAAAGGAAAACAAAAAAGGAAGAAAAAACTAATGATGCTGGTGGTAAATATAAAGGAAATTCAAGTTTTGGTCCACCGACAGATCGGCATCAGCTTTGTTATTCTCTAACTATTGAAATTTGTCTACTTTTCTCATATGTTGCCATGCTGGGACATCATTTACATGAAATACAGAGTATCAGTTTCAATTTGAGAGAAAAAAATGGAATTATGGAAATAGAAACCCTTGGGTCGTCTTTGCTAACAAACTAAAGGAACTTCTGATGCAATAATAAAAATATTTAAAATGAGTAGCAAATGAAGATACTAAAAAACTGAGGATTTGCAACGTTTGATTTGGTAGATTAGAGTCATAAGGATCCACTGAAAGTGAGAAGCAATGACATTAAGGTAAGATATTTGCCATTGTGTCCCTCAAATTGAACTTCAGAAGGCATGGACATGATTCCAGTTCTAAATCAATACTCTGGAATGGGAACCAGAAATGGGAAAACCGAAACCAAAGATGATATTAAGTTCCAGATTAAAGGGGACTGAAAAAGGAAAATCTGTCTCCTGTTCTTTTTCTATATCTGTAGGTCAATAATTGGTTAAGCTACCTATAATAGAAAATTGGGTGGGGGCTCAGGATTCGGGGTGGTTCAGAACTACCCGGAGAACCAAACTGGCCCCAACAGGTTCCTGTTCCGGTTCCCCTTCTATGAATCGAGATCGGTCGATTGTGAAACCAGATCTGAAAATTGAAAACGTTTTTGAAAAACAGAGAACCAAAACTGGTCATTTTTAAAGATGGGAACAAAAAAACAAAAACTATTATAGCCAAAGGACCAGATTTGCAAATTTGCCTCTTCATTGCAGAGATGCTCACAACTTTGACAAGAATGTATAGGGGTAATTCCAACTACAGTAATGGTGCTTGGCTGTTTATAACTACTAAAAACATTTCCAATAAGAGATTATCTACACTAGAGAAGCTTTTATGGAAATAATCTCAGACAGGACGATAAGAATTAGACAATGGAATGAGGAAATTAAAAACCTTACCACATCAGCAGGCTCTGCCAATATGTTTATAAAAAACTTGGCCTAATTTAAGCCAAAGTTGTTAAAGGTATCAGATCTCTAAAAAAAGGATCAGAAAGAAAACAACAGTAAAAGTAGTGGCATTGTAGTGGAAAACCTGCTTCGTGGTAGCACCAGACATGAGAAGCTCAGTTGTCACCATTCCAGGCTGTTCATTTATCAGAGAATGATTGAGCACATAAATATAAACATTGTCCAGAAATAAATAGCATAGTAATTATTACATTTTCTCCATTATTTGCAATAGAGCCAAAGACTCACTATTTTTTGACCTGAGAATATGATGGAATAAAGCAAAATGGCTCAATAAACTGTCTGGCTTTTTTGTTATGAATCAGCAATCAGCCCATGCAATTTTTGACGCGATTTTCACTATAGATCATCCGGAAACGGTCTCTTTGTGCTTTTAGTATAGGGGTAAGAGTGCGTACATCACCGAAGGTGTGAGCCTTTGTGGCATTGGGGTAATGATGAAGATGAGTAATTATTACATTGTCGAAGGTTGACTCAAATGGGGCCACACTGAAACATTTTAAAGGGAACGGTTTGATTTAGTTTGTTCCACTTATTCTTTCTTCTTATAACTTATTAGTTATCTGTTATCTGTTACAGGCCAATTCTATGATCGGAAATATCAATGTAGAAATCGGATGATCAGGAAGGGTGATTATGAAATCAAAAGTGGCTGAGAAAGAAATCTGCGACCTGGCAGTTTTAGGAAGCTTCTTAATCAGCAGCTTCCTAATTAGCATTTATCTCTTTCTCTAATTATTTCTAACTTCCTATTCAGCAGTTTCCTAATTAGCATTTATCTCTTTTCAATAATTATTCCTATTATGCTTTAGGCAACATCTTAATTAGCATTTATTTCCTTTTAGAATTAGGACTCTTGTAATAACTATATAACGGTCATTAGTATTATTCAATAAACAGCTTTAGAGAATTAATTCTTGAATCTCTTGAATACTTCCAAGATCAGATTAATTCCACAGAGCCCTTTCTTTTAATTCTTCCCATTAATACGTTCATCATAGATTCCAAATTACAGAATTCTCTAAGTTCTCGTTTCCTGCCAGTTTCTTGTTCTTGTCCTTGGACGAGATCTTGTACGTCTGCCCTTAACAACTTGGTATCAGCATCTGGGACGATGGCGAACGACGCTGCTGACGCTGGCTCACTCGAAGACATGATCGAAAACATCGATCACAGGCAACTGGCAGTCGAACATCAATTGGCAGACATCAGGGATTCTATGGCTAAGCTTGCCGAGATGCCTAAAGTTGTATCTGCGCTATCTGCAAACCTGCAACGATCGATGGGCGAATCTTCCTCCAGCAATCCAATGCATGAACGACAACACGGCACGGAATGTTAGGAATACTATATGCACGCCTATATGTAATAGCCTAGTATTAAAGTCTAGCTGTTATAGTTAGTTATAGCTGTACTGTTGTTTGTTATAAGTCGGTTAGAGCTTCAAATGTTATAAATAGTCTTGTAATTGTATTCTGATCATCAATGAAATCATTCTTCTTCATTACATTATGTTACTATTCTAATGTGGTATCAGAGCGGTAGCTCGATCTACCATGACGAACTCAAGCTCGACATCTTCCTCCTCTCCAGCTACCGGAAACAATACGTTTCCAGCAGTGTTTACACATCCTATCCCAATCAAACTTGATTTGAACAACTATCTTCTCTGGAAGCATCACATTAAGACCTTGTTTGGTTGGAGGGTTTTGGAGGGGAGGGGAGGAAAGTGGGGGATTCTTGTGTGTTTGGTTGAAGGAAATAGGGGGGAAGAGGAGGAAAGTGGAAGACTTTCAAAATCTTCCACTTCCTCCCATTCTAACCCCCCAAATCGGGGTATTTCGGAGGAAACGTGTTGATAACAACAAACTATCCATCTCCTACGTGAATGAACAAAATGTTATATTATAAAAAGGTAAAAAAACAAAAAGTTTTGAAAAATTTAAAAAATTAAAAATTTAAAAATTTAAAAATTTAAAGATTAAAAAATTTAAAAATTAAAAAATTAAAAAATTAAAAATTTTCAAAATTAAAAAATTTAAAAATTATAAATTAAAAATTTTAAAAATGAAAAATTAAAAATAAAATAAAAAAAATAAAAAATCAAAAATTCCAAATTGAAAAATGAAAAATTATAAAATTAAAAAAGTAAAAAATCAAATAAATTAAAGTTATGACTCATGACCATAAGAGTAATATTCACAATAGTTAGACATGTATCTATTTTTTTAAGTAAGATATCAAATAAAAGTAAATTGCGAAAATATTTTCATTAAACCTTTCCTCCTATTTCCTCCAACCAAACACAAATTTTTATCAAAATCGTTCCTTCCCCTTCAATTCCCTTCCCTCCTTGACTCTCCCCTTCCCTCCCCTCCTTTGAACCAAACAAAGCCTAAATCAGTTATTCGAGCACACAAATTGTTCAAATTTGTGGAAAATTCGAAGATTCCTGATCAGTTTATCAATGGCAACAATGAAGAAAACAAGACGATCAATGATGCATATACTGTATGGGAACAACAGGACCAAATGCTATTTTCATGGCTGCTTTCTTCTCTATCTGAATCACTCCATGCTCTAGTCATCCATTGTCAACACTCACACGAGCTTTGGAGTACAATTCGAAAATTCTTCCAGTCATCCATCGTCGCAAGGGCGAGACAGCTCAAATTTGAGCTCTATAACACTGGAAAAGGAGATCGATCGATTTCAGAATATCTTCTTCGAATTCAGACAATTGTTGATAACCTCATCTCGATTGGAGAACCGATATCTACCAAAGACCACATCAACGTAATTCTCGAAGGCCTTCCAGAGGAGTATGAGTCTCTTGTATCATTGGTAACTTCTCGAAGCATTCTAGATCCGATAACTATTTCTGAACTTGAACCTCTACTTTTACTCAAAGAAATGCGGCTGAAAAAGCTTCACGAGTCCACCTCACAAAATATCTTCTCTGCTAATATTGCTCGTGTTGATGCTTCGCCTCAAAACACCAACTCCGAAGCTCCTAGAGCATCAGGAACCTCATCTGCAAACATTGCGCAGTTCAATAACCCTAATAATCCTAATCGCACTAATTCCTACAGAGGAAGAGGTCGTGGTGGTTCTAACAGAGGTCGAGGGTCGTTTTGGAGGGTGTGGTTCTCTAATCTGTCGGGTCTGTGGAAAACCAGGCCATCATGCCTTAATATGCTATCATCGCTATAATCGTGCCTTTACCAATCCAAACCCTCACCCAGCCTATGCCAATTCTACTTCTGGACCTTCAAACCACTGGAACTCACAGTCACCAAATCCATACTATCAACCTCAAATTCCTTATCAACCTTCCTATACTTCCAAACGGCACACATATCAACATTACAATCCTCCAACTCATCCTATTCATCCCTTCAACCAGCAATCTTCCACTCTGTTACACGGTAAAATTCCGAACCTAGAATTTTCACCTGGGTCTAACACACTCCAAGTCCAGAAACCTTTAATTGGGAACAACACTCTTCCAGACCTTCTGCAGCCTTTGCCAGTGCTAACTCTTCAATTCTTGGACCAGCTCCATCTAACCAACAATGGTTCCCAGATTCAGGAGCCACACATCATGTAACTGCTGATCCACTGTGTTGAGATTTGATATGATTTCCTTCCTGATTTTAGTATTTATTGTAAAGATTGTATCAAATCAGGAATTAATTACTGATTGATGTGCATATGATTCTTTCCTTGTAATTATTTGCCTTATAAATAAAGACTTGCTGAGAGTAGTTTCTCTTAAGCAATTTCATTCAAATCAGTAAATTCAAGTTGGTATCAGAGCCTGATCCTCACTTTCCCTAGTCGTCCCTGCAGCCAACCTTCATCGAGACTGGTCTGCCGGCACTAGGAATAGAAGTCCTAGTCATTCCAGATTGTTCCCAAGTCAGTATACGTCATGTCTCCTGCAAGCAGCACGACTCCTGACTCTTCCAGAGTTCCAGGAGTCTTGTTCTGGGAATCCCCAAATAACTTCTGAAAAACTAACGGCAGAAACTACATGGATTGGCAAGTTTCTGTTGAAATGTGGTTCTTAGGCCAAGGTTTGTCCGAACATTTGACCAAAAGAGCCGATGAGATAACTGCATCTGAAAGGGAAAAATGGACTCAAGCCGACCATCAATCGGTTGCTATTTTGTGGCAGTCCATTGATCCCAAACTGTTGATCCACTTCCGCACATACAAGACGTGTTATGACATATGGAAGAAAGCTCGAAGTGTGTTTGCGAATGATGTCCAACGGATTTATGACGTTGTTCATAGCCTTGCAACACTCCAAATGTCCGACCATGACCTTCCATCATATGTGAATAAGGCACAATCCATTGTTGAAGAGGTTAAGGTGATGTTGAGCGAAACTGATCTCCCTAAAGTGTTTGATAAAATTGATAAAATGTGTATGGTGTTTGTTCTCCATGGACTTCATAGGGATTTTGATTCCGTGCGGAACCAGATCCTAACGAATCCAAACATTCCCACTGCTGAAGACCTTATCGGTCGACTGTTGAGAGTTCCTGCACCAAGTGGAATTGAAAGTGTTGGTCCTCACGTTGATTCAGATTTCTCTGCTCTTGTCTCTCGTTCTAGCTATGGCGGTCGTGGTCGTGGTCGTGATAGAGGAGGACGTGGCACTGGTGGTCGACCTAAGTGTAGTCATTGTCAGCGCATGGGTCATACCAAAGATGAATGTTATGAAATTATTGGTTGGCCTGACAAGTCTGTTAATGTAATGCACTCCGAACCGGTGAAACCTGGGGCAGCAACTAAAAGTGCCCAGAATGTTCTATCAGATGATGAATATAAAGAGTATCTACAACTTAAGGCAGCTCAGCATTCCTCAGCAGCAGTCAACTTTACCGGTAACTCTACAGCTTGTCTTTCTCAATCAGGACCCGTCAAATCTTGGATCATAGATTCTGGTGCCTCTGATCACATTGCCGGTAATCCTTCTCTTTTCTCAAAGTTATCTCAACCTAAATCAGTGCACCATGTCACCCTTGCTGATGGTTCAAAAGTTAAAGCCATTGGCGTTGGACAGGCCACACTTCATCCTTCTTTTTCTCTTAATTCTGTTCTTCT